AATTAACAATGGGCCCATTTATTCAAGGTAGGATGGTTCTCCCATTTCAGCTTGAGAGGACTGAAAGTCTCTTTCTATCCTCCTCTAGGAGGGAAACTCTGCAGCTGGCCTGTCTGGAGAATCACTCAAATATATTCACAGCTTTGCTCAAAGTCAAGCAATGGCAAGAAAAGTCTTCATCTTCACTTTCCACTGGAAACCAACACTTTCCACTGGAAACCAACACAGTTGACTTTGAGGTATTAAAATTTCATCCTTCAAGGATCATTTCAATTAATTTCTCCTGGAGGAAGCCGACCCCACAAATATAAAAGCCCACTGAAACTGAGAAACACTTATCTGTATCTTTGTAATTTCACCAAATACTGTCTTGTGATAGGTCTTATAACAATGTCTAGTACGGCACTTAATTCTTTTCTCCCCAACCTTTTTACCCCCCAATATTTTATACCTTCTTTAATGGTTTCTAGGAAGTATTCCTATAACTGCTGAATAAATGAATTCTTGGCAAAATGTTTCACAGCTGTCTTTTCTCCGTTCTGTCTTATACTCCCAAGCCGAGCTCCATACTCCAGAAAGTAGTAAATTTCCTTTGCTTTTTAAATCCAACTAAAATCTTATCTGAATTGGTAACAACTAATCCTCTCCTAACTCTTGAGAATCAAAATCATTATTTGTATTAATATTAATTTGTAGTAAAGTATTTTACCTCATTCTTATCTGCTAAAGAAACAATGTAGATGTTTTATGGAGAATTGGGAGCTCATCTTCAGGAAATTCAAATACTGACATTTAAGGAAAAAAACTCTAATATCATAAATCAGAAAACACAAAACAGAGTATTGCAACCTTAAGATGCCATACTTAAAAGATGTTATTCACAAATATATCATCCTTCCTGTAATTCCATCGTGAGGAACATCAACTTGCCAAAATATGGCCTTGAATTGTGCAAGAAGTCTCCTATTTCTTCTTATAAAATATACTGGCAAAGACCAATAACCCACACTGCTACAAAGAAACCCATCCCCACATTCCATGGCTTCAAGGCAATTCCATAAATACAGGGTCATAAAAAGACAGCCTACAAACTGTTGTAGCCAGCACTCCATTTTAAGAATAGGAAACTGAAGACAGTGACATGTGATTATATAGTCACAGTAATATGAGGATCCTTTTAAAAGTTTCTAAGACAACCTTGTCTTAGAAACCCACCTACTAAAAAAGAAGGCAAAACTTGTACACTATAGATAATGGGAAAATCTATGTGAAATATTAAATATTGTATAGTTGGCAAGAAAAAAAAGTATAGTTTGCATTCTTTAATACACAAAGTCACACCCAGCACATTCACATGCTAATAACAACAAAATCTCAGGAAAACAGAATGTTCAGGTCCCAGCCAATGGTCTACTTATCACAAATACATTTGCTATCACAGGGTTCCAATGTTATAAGGGAATGTAAATAGCCCTATGGAGCTGGACATAGCAACAAATGAACAGAGGAAAAACTGTATGCTTTTGGACTCTAAACATAAATATGCAGCTTCCCAGCTAAGCACAAACTTGTGATTTTTTTTTTTTTTCAATTCCAGTAGACTCTAAGTAAAAAAATAACTCCTACGTTACCCATAATTACAGGGCATTTGATATTGCAAGTCTCAAAATATTTTTTCTTCTTAATATTATAATATTATTGTTGTAAAAAATAAGAGCTAAGAGAATACAATGTACCCGACCTTGCTAAGAATTTCATACCTATCATTAATATGAGAAGCACTAAATTAATGTCTCAAGGCATGCTGTCAAGTTTTAATTACTTTTTGACACAATTAATTAAACAATTTAGTGACCACAGAAATATCTCCCAATAATTTTACATAATTAAGGCGGAATAAATATAACTAGAGAACTAAGTAAGATGAGGTGTAACATTACTAATCTTATTACAACAATATAAATTAGTTATTAGGCACACATCTTTATTAGGCAATGTTATAGGCATGTTTGAACTGAACCACACAAGGGGTTAAAAGTAACTACAATGAAAGCCAACAGCCTAGCAGCACAGTTGAGCCAACATTCCCTTCTCTTCTCCCCTCCCCTTCCCATCCTCTCCAGTCCAGAATGAATTGCATGCCCCACTGCACAAGGCCCAAAAAGGTCACAGGAGATGGCAGAGACTTTTGTAAGAGAACAGAAATAACTCAGCAGCTTTGTTACCATAGTCTCTTTTAATCAGTATGTTCAAAATCCTTTAATTAGCACTCTGTCTACACAAGGAAAGCATTTCTTCTGTGCCAAGGGAGGGCACATATGTATGTACACAGTGTTCTGTTTTATCAGCATCACAACATGGAGCTAAGCCTCAAATTGTCTGCCAGGAAACTAAAGCACAGAAAACTCTTTTAAAGGCATGGTACCACAAAACTGACACATCACATTTGCATCTCTACTACCAAACCACACAGTGATGATTTAGTTTGTTTCATTAGGTGTCAATTTGTTTCTGGACTTCTTCCCCACCAAAACTGGATGCATTTTAAACTAAACAATAACTTCTATAGTCCATTATTTATAAAGTAAGATATTTAAACTTAATATAAATAATGTTAACAGAACATAAAAACAAGACAATAGTAAGGTATCATTCTTTTCCTCATAAGAGATCTTCAGGAAGAGAAAAAAATTGCCTTACTCAAACAGTAATAAATCATAAGACACATTTTCACACGGATGCTTTCCATTTAAAATTTCATCCAACCATGAAGTCTTAAAACTTAAAGGCTGGATTACATATATGTATTGCCTTGTAAAATCTGATTAACTGGAATCAAGACAAAAATTGGTGGTAAATTAAAGTTAACTGTTGAAAAAATAAAATAAAATAAACTGTTTAAAAAATCCACAGACAAGAAACAAGGAAAACTCCATTAGTAAATTGGGATTAGCTGTATTTTAGCTATTTTCACATGTTACAAACTTAATCTTTCAAAATCAAGTTGTGTGTATATATATTATAAGAAGCAGTGTATGTGTATACACACACACACACATATAATTAAAAGAACAGCCTCCAAAACTCCTGACTAGAGAAACCACCTAATTAAAGAAACAATATATAGATAAAATTTATCATTAGGGAAGCAGCGTAACATAAATCCTTGAAAGCCAGCTCTTCCACACCAGCCATGCGAGCTCATAGCACAGCTTTGTACAATGGGTACGGTACCACTATTTCACAGATTGACAGAATTAAATGAGATGATGCACTTAAACACTTGGCAAAAATCCAAAAGTTTGCTCACAAGGCTGTTGGGGGTGGGGAGTAATAGGTATTCTTGTGCATTGCACAAAAGTATAAATTGACACAGCCTATCGAAATTATATATATATATGTGTCCATATACATGTGTGTGTATACACACACACATAAACAGTTGACTCTTAAACAGCATGGGGTTGGGGCACTGACTGCACCATACAGTCAAAAATCTACATATAACTTTTGACTCCCTCCAAAATTTAACTATACTAATAGCCTACTGTTCACTGAAAACCTTACCGATAACAAAGAATCTATTAACACATATTTTCATGTTATATATACTTTACTTTTATAATACAGTAAGCTAGAAAAAAAATATTAAGAAAATCATAAGGGAGTGCTTGGGTGGTTTGGTTAAGCATCTGACCCTTGAATTTGGCTCAGGTCATGATGTTAGGGTCTTGAGATCAAGCCCTGCAGCAGGATCCGCACTCAGTGGGGAGTGTGCTTGAGATTCTCTCCCTTTCCCTCTGCCCCTCCCCAAGCCTGCCTGTGCTCTCTCTCTCTCTCACTCTCTCTAAAATAAAAAAATCAATCTTAAAAAGAAAAATGAAAATCAGAAGGAAGAGAAAATACATTTACAGAATTGTATATATATTTATTGGAAAAGAAATCCCTGTGTAAGTGGATCTACACAGTTCAAATCTGTGTTGTTCAAGAGTCAACTGTGTTATACATACACATAAAAAATTATGCATATATGGTATCCACCACAGCACTCTTTGAAATAACAATACTAGAAACAATATAAATGCCTTTCCATAGGGGACTGGTTAAATGTATGTTACTTCCCTACAAGAGAATTCTACATAGTTGTTTAAAACAAAAACAAAAACCTTTAGGGAAAGTTCTCCATGATAAACTATTGAGAAAAAAAGACATGGAGCAGTGTGTATAACATGCTACCATATAAGTAAAAGGGGAGTGGATATTCCTATTTATTTGACTATGGAAAAAAAGCCCTCTGGAACATTATACAAGCAATTAGTAGCAAGCAAAAATGGTGCTTGACATATGTCATGCCTCAAAAAAACACCATCATCATCATGAAAATATATCCTTAAATTGTATACACAGAATACATTCAAACTAAATCAATAATGTAGTAAACAACAAAATCTCAATTATTTATAAGCTGACTATCTAGGAGATCCAAGCCCTCAATCCCTCTTCAAATTTAAGTAGTCTCTGACAATTCTACTGTTGACTATCACCTTCACCAGAAAGTGAGTGGAGGAAATAACACCCAAAACAGTCATTTTATTTGATATTGATCAACAGTTTTTAATTAACAGCTTCTGGAGCTGAAAGAAACAATGAAAATCCCATTGTGCAGACTCCTAATATTACATATAAAGAAACTAAGGTTAAGATTCCCCATATTAGTGACAGTTCAAATATTTGAAGTCTACCCCCTAGTTAAATACTGTCCATTTCCTTATTAATAAGATGGGGGAGACTGAAAATAAGCTCAACTGAAATCAATTATCCTTGCTAAATCACCTCCCCTCCACATCTTTTATTATACATAACTAAGTTTTCCGAGATTAAATCCCATAAGCAACTGTAATGAGTACAGGTTATCCAGAGAATTCAACAACTCAGCCCTGAAGTTTCTAGGACTAAGCATTGAATGAACATCTGTAATAAAATCTGTGAAGTTTGCTTACACTAGAGATTGTCAGAGGCATGTTGAAATCCTTGCCACCTTGCAGCCGGAAACCCCAAGGAGCTGGGCCAACCAAGGACACACTGTAGTTGCTCATGGCTCTGATAGCTCAAAGTCCAATCTCAGAAAATGAAAGAAACTGTGAAAGAAAATTAGATGGTTAACAAAATGTTTATTTGAAGCCCCATTACCTATTTAATTGTACTTAATATAAACTCAACTAAATTATGTTCAGTATTTTGTTTCAGGGGCATGAGAAGATACTGAGGATAAATCTACATTAAGTTCTCATTACAGTCTTTTCAGGAATAGGAATCTATGAGCTAATACACAATTTCTAAACTGATGCCAACTTCCATGGTCTAAAAATTCCGCATCAGAATCTATTTCTAGACATTTGATCAGTTCTATAACTTGCAACAGTATAATTTGTGGCTTCTTGCATACAGACTTTAACTCAAAGTACTTTACAACACTTCATTACACATAGGAGAAAAAATAAGATTTTATTTCAGGTTTAATTCAAAATGATTTTCCCCTCCCCTCTACCGCATGCATTCGTTAGCCTGCAGTTGTAAGAGTCCTTAAATTCAAAGCTACTCTCCGATATGAAAAGGACTGCAAATCTGTAGACTCTCACTCATGCTTTCCACATACAAAATTCTTTAAAGTGTTTTTTTTTAATGTTTTGTATTTTTTTTTAATTTTATTTTTTATAGACATTTATTTTTTTTCCCCAGGGGTACAGGTCTGTGAATCTCCAGGTTTACACACTTCACAGCACTCACCATAGCACAAACCCTACCCAATGTCCATAACCCCACCCCCCCTCTCCTAACCCCCCTCCCCCCAGCAACCCTCAGTTTGTTTTGTGAGATTAAGAGTCACTTATGGTTTGTCTCCCTCCCAATCCCAACTTGTTTCATTTACTTTTAATGCACAAAACTATTCTCTCCAATCATAAACGACAATTTGTATTTCCTCTTATAAGGACATGGTATTTTCAACACTTAGAGCAATATTTACTTTTCCTTTAGACAGACAATGATAGGCAATACTCTAGCAGCACAGTGATATTTCAGTGAGAACTTGCTTATTTTATACACACATCACATAAAGCAAAGTAAAGAATGAGCATTAACCACACAGTGAATGAGACTGACTAAATGGGGTAGAAATAGAAGGTCAATGCATGAAAGGAAACTGGAGCTTTAGAAAGGCAGCAGCACTTCGGTGCTCTTTTTTGTTTTGCTCTAAGTGCACTCATAATGACTCTCATGGTTTTACTTTTATAGGATTTTAAAAAGTGTGACTTTGAGTTTGGTTGGTATGATGGTTATGTGTAGTGGGCGAAATTGGGAGAAATGGATATTTTCTAAAATGTAATACTAAAAAACAATATTATTTTGCCCTTTAAAATGTTAAAAATATAGTGGATGTATAATTTAATAATTTTAAATCACATTTTTAAAAAAACTGTTGAAGACACACTTCCTTAGAAAATCTGTGCTGTTAGACTAAATCACCACCTTGTATTACCTGTCTTAAAATATTTTTCCATTTTTTTAACCATTCAAAACTTTGATCCCATTACACCAAATTAATATTGGCACATGTAGGTATGTGAACCACTGGGAATATTAAAAACAAACAGATTACATCTTCTCATAAGGGGAAAATGAGGCAAAACTTTCAAGTCTGGTCCTTAAAGAAAAATTAAACCAGTGAAAAATCTGTACAGTACCTACCCAGAAATGAAATGAGCTTTCCACAGGCATGGCTAATACACATTCAGTACTGATGTAATACACACAGCGCACTAAAAAGACCCAATGGCCATGCCAGAAGTCAAACTGTTAGATACACATGGACAACACATAATAAGATAATTAAGAGTCACACATAATTCAACTGCTTTCCCGCTGTAATAAAAGATTTTCATAGAACTAGTAAAGAAAGACTGTTTTGACGTTGGCATTTATGATACAAATTAGAAGAGTGTAAAGCCAACAGATATTTCACAGGAAGCCTGCCCCCTCCTTTTTTAATCTTTAACTTGTATCAAGAGAACAATGTGAAAGTTAGGCTCAACTTCCTCTGGACCCACTGTTTCCTACAAGAAAATGTATGCAATTTATATATCAAACCATGTACATACAACTTCCCTTTACTTGGGAATTCCCTTCATAACTTGACTTCATTTATTAAAAATTTACTGGCAAGGTCACAGCCACACTACAGAACCAGTGTCGTTTCTAGTATTCTCTCTGTTAGCTTCATTTGCCTTAAAACATTCTGATCCCTATGCAATGGTAATACTATTATTGGCTTTTTCCAGGTCTCCCCCATCTGGTTATTAGTGCCCAAGCTCCTCCTAAAATACTAAGCAGGGAGGAAATAGTGAGCAGCCTATTCTGCTTTCAAACACGAAGATAATGTTGGACCTTCCCGTACAGTTCGGGATTTTCTCTTAGGGAAAGTCTAAACAATGTCTTCGCTTTAATATTTGAGAAGGAAGCTTGGTATTTCCCACGCTTCTATGCCTGCTTCTACGGTGAATGAGAAGGGGGAAAGGAGAACTCAAAGTGACAAGAAGGGCCTGAAATTAACGAGCAGTATCTTTAGATTCTCTTTTTCCCCAAATTCAAAGATAATGGGGATAGAGCTAAGGAACTAAAGCCACAGGCACATGATGAAAGCAGTCGACAAGAAATTTTCCAGCAGAGGTTTACGCCTAGCCCTGTTTGCCAAATAAGGCTCCGGAGCGGGCTATTTCCGTGGCTGGCAGGTCCGACGTCCTCACCATCAGGAAGGCGGACTTGGGATAGGATCTGGCGATCACACCCTAGACCTACCCTGCCGACGTAGCCACGAATTTTCTTTCCTAGCTCTGCCCGGTCCAGACGCCCCTCCTTTTTCCACTTATTGTCAAATGCACTGAACGCACAGTCTTACAAAAGCCCCAACAAGTACTCAAGTATTAATAAATCTGGCGATTATGACAGATATTTTTTTTAAACAAGCTTTATTTCTGGTCGCCCGGCTGTTTGCCCAAACAGGTACGCAATTTTAAGTAGCTGGAAGGAAATAAACACTTCTCAGCGCGAAAGCAAACAAAAAACAGCAACACGCCTTTCCCGTTTAGTCTCGCTCCCTACACCCCTGCAGGAGGTGGGTGTACCCAGACGCCAAAGTAGGTGCCCAGCGACGCCCGGCGACTCCCGGTAGCTGGCTGGCCGGCGGGTCGCTGCGGGGGTGCGCCAGAGCTCCACGACCCTGCCTCCGCTACACTCGTCCCGGCCGACCCGAGCTCCAGGAACTTCCAGTGCTCGCCCTCTGGCCTTGCGCCCACTCCCGCGCCGCCCTTTCCCGGGAGCTCCTCTTCCCACGCGGCACTCTCACCTCCGCCGCTCCAGAAAGCACCTGAGGAGCCGTCCCCGCGCTAAGCGCGCCCCCTCCTGCTCCCCAGCTGGGCTTCCCTCCGCGCACCGAGCGCAGGGAGACCGCTTCCCCCGCTCCTCCCTTCGGGATAGACGAGCAGCGCATCCCCGACCGGCGGCCACTCACCTCTACTGCGCTGCGGCGCTGCCTCCGCCTCCGACTAGCGCTGACAAGTGATTCGGAGTGCGTGCGCCGTCCCCACCGCCCGGGGAACTTCCGCCTCCTTGCACTCCCCGACCCCGCCCCTAGGCGGAGACACGCTCCCCCCTCCGCCCCCGCTCCGCTCCCGGCCACGCCCCCGGCCCGGCAGGGTTGCCCCAGACGGGCGGAGTAGGGTACGCAAGAGTCTGGCGCGCGGGCTTGCTTAGGCGAGCTGAAGCCAGTGCTGGGAAACAATGGAGCTACCGAGTTTCGGTGGGGGTAGTCAGGGGATTTCGAGCAGTACCTGGCAGAGGTACGCTCCGCGTGTCTGTTTTCTAATGGACGCATTTCTCTCTCCAGAAACTTTGAATTGGCAAGCAGTTGTTCTGGCTGAAAATAGAAGAGGGCTTTGGATAAATCCCTAGCTATGCAAGTTCAGCGACTACTGCCTGTTTTTTGGAAAGAGCTTTCCGTGCCCAAAGAGGTGCAGACCCTGAAGTTTGCTTGTCAGGAAGGTGAAAATCGGTAACCCTAATAACTAGAAGTTAAGTTCTGTGATCATTCCAGAAGACAGGGATAGAGAGCAAGGGCCAAAAGCCGTTCAACCAGTATATCCTCTTTATTTTGTAAGTCCAACAAATCAGTAGCACACTTTTCAGTTTCTGTAAAGTTGCTGGATTTATCCCGAGGATTTTACTCATAAACTTAAACGATGTGCAGTGAATATATGGAAAGTAATTTGTTGACTTTTTAAAACTGTGAATTAGGTTATAAGAAGTGAAAAGGACAATTTTTAACCAAAGGGCATATAAAGCAAGGATGAACTTCACGGGGCCCATGAATTCCCTTGATGTACAACAGCCTTCTAGAGGAGAAGGTCCAATACTGCTCCAACCAAAACGGTAGCCACTAAGCCACGTGTGGGAATTGAACATTTGAAATATGGCTACATGACGAAGGCCTGAATTTTTTGTTTTATATAATTTTAATTGACATTTTAAAACTGAAGCAGGGTAACATTTGTGTTAAAGACAACACTGTGTTAAACAAAACTTAATTATACCTAAGACACAAATTTAACGTATGACTACATTTCCCTTCACCATTGAAAAGTTGATACCTAAATTGAGATGGGATAGAAGTTCAAAAAGCCCTCTAACTTGCAAAGTCTTGATATGAAAATTTTTATTAAAATACATCATTAATTTTATATTGATTACACGTTGGAATGATAAAATTTTTATATCTGAATAAAATATATTCTTAAAATTGATTTCATCCATTTTCTTTAGCATGTGCATAATCAGATATTTAAAATTACCATGTGACTAGTACCATATTTTCATTGGATGGCTCTGCTCCATAGCATGCATCACATTCTCTGAAAGATTATGTTGGAAGGAAAAGTTTCCTAGTGTGAAAGCTGGTTTGGGGAGTACTTTTTTTTTTTTTTTAAGATTTTATTTTTTTAAGTAATCTCGGCACTCACCATGGGGCAGGAACCCACAGCATTGAGATCAAGATTCCTGTGTTCCACCAACAGAGCCAGCCAGGTGCCCCTGGAACACTTTAATTATCATGTTTGACACCTCACCTCAAAATTGAATAAATAATAACAGTGACATTTATAAATACCTACCAAGTGCCAGGCAGTGGGGCGATCCTTACAAAAACTTTGTAAGACAAATGTCATCCCTATTTGTAGTTAAGAAAATGGAGGTTGCAAGAAATCAGTTTGTGACGGTTCTGCAGGACAATGGCTAGAGTTACCCTGTAAGGATCCCATCTCTACTCCCCTTCATGTTTGCTGCTGATACAGTTAAAAAGAACCCAGTTAAACAGGGTTAATAAAGACATCAAGAATTGCAGGTAGTATATAGAGATTTCACCAGAGGGTAAGCGCCTTGAAGAGTTGAGAGTAAGAGGAGTGTTGCTTACTTAGCATATTCAAATTTTAGTCTATATATGCTAGCTTGCCTTTGAATTCTCCTTCTCCTCTTGCAGTTTAAAGGGAAGTGAAAATTTAAAAAGCCAAATTAAGGTATGATCCAGATACATTTATCCAAGAGTCCTCCAAAAAAACCAGCTACATCAAAGTCACATAGGCAGCTTGTTAAAATTGCATTTTTCTGGGACTTACCCAGACCCAGGATCCTTGCAGGGGGGCCCCAGGAACCTGCCTTTTTAAAAAACACTCTCTCCCCTACTCCAGGTAATTACTAAACTACACTGCTTAAAAACCTCTTACCTAGAAATATCCCTGCATCCCCAATGTACTGTATAATGTGCTTGAGAACCATGCATCCCAGACAAAAGTAACTTATCTCAGTTCCCTCATCCTTGGGAAATAATTATGAATAACTTTTTGAGTTTATTGTGAAGAGTAGGGATAATATATATAAAGCACCTGGCAGCATGCTTGACACCAAGTAGATGTTGAATCAATGGTAGCCATATGAAGCTTTCCAAATCTGATTACATTTATTTATGTATCACAAAAACAAGTAGACAACTTGAGCATTCACTGTGTACTATGTTCTTGGTGACTTATGTATATTATCTTTTTAAATTCTTACAACCATATAAAGTAGATTTTTTTTTTTTTTTCAGAAGAAACAGAAACGTGGAGATTAAGATATTTAACCAAGAGCACACAACTAATGAGTGACAGAGTAAATCACAAGATGTGATTCCAAAACCAAGTTCTTTTCATCTCAACACCCTGCTTCTGGTAAATTCAATTAAGCCATCCAGCTTAAAGACTAGAGAAAGAAGATGAAAAACTATAGACCCTAACACTGTTGGGAACCAGAGAGAAGCAATCTGCAACAAATTATGGAGATTAAATACTTGTATATTATTATGAGTATGTATGTTACTTGTATATGAAATGACAAAAATCCTGAACCATTTCTGGTGGAAGATGTGCCTTAACTTGTTTCAGAATGACTTGCTCTCAAAACATTCTGACTCCTTTTCTCTGTGTTGTCTGTGAATAACATTTATGAAATGGTTGGCCATGACTTGAAGGACAGTCTGCAACTACAGACTACTAGCAGGATGATAACTGATCCAATGGGAAATCAGACCAGTGTCCTTAGCCTTGTTAACTCTACAGACTAAGCAAAAGAACTCACCGCAAAGGAAACTATATTTAAAGTTGCACTTTATCAAAACTAGTGCACAAGAGAAAAAAAAGTAGATCAAAAAATTAATTGAGCGGGAAGAGTTTTTAAGAAAATTCCATCTAAACACAGTAGTTACCTAAGTGAATAAATGTTTGCTCTAACATTTTATTATCCAGTGTATGACTCAGAATCCTCTTGCGGTACTTCAAAAATAACAGAAATTTTTAATTACAAGATGGCTTGGCTATGACGAGTTCTTACGGTTGCACCCAATAAACTGTAAAGTACTGGTCTTTAAAAAGTTCCTTCATTACTCTAAGTCAATTTATTTTGTAAGTCCTAATCCTGAAAGACAAACAAACCACTCATAGGTATGAATATTTAATGTTTAAAATCCAGAATGGTTGGAGCGCCTTGGTGGCTCAGTTGGTAAAGCACTAGACTCTTGATTTAGGCTCCGGTCATGATTTCAGGCTCCTAAGATGGAGCCTCGGTGAGATTGAGCCTCAAGTCAGGTTCTGCTCTGGGGGTTTAAGATTCTCTCTTGGAGCACCTGGGTGGTTCAGTGGGTTAAGCCTCTCAGATCATGATCTCAGGGTCCTGGGATGGAGTCCTGCACAAGGCTGTCTGCTCCACAGGGAGCCTGCTTCCCCCTCTCTTCTCTGCCTGCTTCTGCCTACTTATGATCTCTCTCTCTCTCAGTCAAATAAACAAGATCTTAAAAAAAAAAAAAAAAAAGATTCTATCTCTGTATCTCTTTGCCCCTCCCCAACTAAAAAAGTAAAAATAAAATAAAATCTAGAATGGAGATTTTTCTTACCAGAGGGACAAGCACTAAAGAAGCAGAGAGAGAGTAGAAAGAAGTGGATGGGAAAGGCTCTCAGAGCGGATACATGAAGACTACCTAATTATGTAAATAAATAGGATCAAGGAACAAGTTAAAAAGTTTAAACTTTTTAAAACTGCTTGAAGATTTCAAGTCTGGTTTTGGGGAGTAGTATTAATAACTAATATTGAAGAGAGAGGAGACATTTTTGAAGGGACAATGCATTTTCCTAACCGTTTCTAGTTAGGGGAAAAAAGGCCAATTTAGTAAGTGAGGGTATATGAGTAAAAAGGGTAGATAGTAAGGGAACTGAAAAAACTACCAGAGAGCTCCAAGTTTGAGCTTTCAGAAGGGGAGGAATATTCCTCATGTTAAGATCAGGGTTTAGCCAGTCTGACATTTTACTCAATGTCATTTCTTTGAGGCATCTGGCTCTTCATGGGAAAGGACAGAGAATATCGGATTTTGGAGAGGAGATAGAAACAGAATATAATTTTTGAAAGCTTGGTATATGAAGAAAAATGTTATTTGAGGAAAGCCAAGAAAATGAGAATGGGCCTAGGGCACAACTTCCCAATTAGTTGGTTATGCCAAGAAATTAATCTTCTCAGCCTGAGGGGTAGTGCAGACTGAGAAGTCTTATCCATTTTCCTCGGGTTCTAAGTTTGCCTTGATGTAAAAAGAGTGGAGAACCAGTGGGGGAGGAAAACAAGAAAAGACAAATGAAAAAAAAAAAACCTTCGGGTTTCAATCAGGATAATCGGGAAGTCTTTGAGCTAAATGAACTTAGGAAATTGTGAACAGAGAAGATCTAGAATGTAAAAGATCTACGCACACCTCTGTGCAGTGTCCCTTTATTAAAACATTTTCAATATTAGTCCCTTTGTTAGCCACCTGATACTAATAGGTTATTGTATGTCAATTATACACCATCAGTTTCCTCTCAAAACCCTGACTGATACATTATTGGTAATTCTTTTTATCATCAATAACTTCACATAAATCATTAGAATGTCATGCACACTTATTTATCAAACATCTTTCATGCCCTAAACTCTGTTGATATGTGGTTTTAAAGTAAAGTCACTCTGTAAAAATATTA